GGGGGGGGGCCTGGGTGATGGCGGGGCTGGGCCCTGCTCCTCCTCACTGACACTGCTCCATCCCTACTTCTTCCAGATGCCAAGATCCGCATCTTCGACCTGGGCCGGAAGAAGGCGAAGGTGGATGAGTTCCCGCTCTGCGGCCATATGGTGTCAGATGAGTACGAGCAGCTCTCCTCCGAAGGTGCGGAGGGAAAGGTGTTGGGATCTGGGGGGACAGGTCTCAGCTGGGTGTAGATGTGGGGGTGGGGGAACTGGACTGGAGATGAGCTGGGGCTGAGTGGAAGGTGGCATGCTAGGTGGGGGAGGAAATGTATCTGTAAGGAAGATGCCAGTTGAGGGGCTCCTGGTTGGAGGCAGCTCTTCCCCAGGAAACCTTGTGTCCCTGTCGCCACCATCCCCAGCACTGGAGGCTGCCCGCATCTGCGCCAACAAGTACATGGTGAAGAGCTGTGGGAAGGACGGGTTCCACATCCGCGTGCGCCTGCACCCCTTCCACGTCATCCGCATCAACAAGATGTTGTCCTGTGCGGGTGCTGACAGGTGTGGACAATGCAGCTGCCTCGGGGCGGGAGGGGCCTTGAGGGGCTAGACTTACCCATGCTTCCCAACAGGTTGCAGACCGGGATGCGTGGTGCCTTCGGCAAGCCCCAGGGCACGGTAGCCCGGGTGCACATTGGCCAGGTCATCATGTCCATCCGCACCAAGGCCCAGAACAAGGAGCATGTGGTGGAAGCCCTGCGCAGGGCCAAGTTCAAGTTCCCTGGGCGCCAGAAGGTAACAGGGCAGGGGGAGTATCCTCTGCTAGGCCTCCTTGGGGATTGTGCAATGGGGTGCTGGCTCTTACCCCGCCACAGGATGGAGGACAAGTTGCCTGGGGGGCAGCATGGGATTGGGCCTGGAAGCCTGTCCCTCCAGTGGGCATTGGCTCCAATACGGCCCTAGGGCAATTCTGGGAGCATGGGGTGGGCAAATGGTCTCCCCTCCTCCCTGCAGCCAGTTAAGCCGACCAGCCTGCCTGCAGTGGAGGCCTGGTGTGCAATGGCTGCGCACAGCACCCCCCCTGGTTGTGTACGTGCTCCATGAACCATCTGGTGCACCTTAAGGGACCTCGGGGACACCAGCAGCAGGGGTGGGGTAATACTGAGGGACTGCAGGGGTGCAATGGGGTGACCTGCATGGCTGACACGCATGTTGCCCATAAGCTGAGCCTGTGGGTGGCCGCTCAGGAGCATTTGGTGCTGCCCAGCTGATTACCAGGGTGCCCACATGTTCCTCCTGGTGATGCCCATCCACATACATCTCAGTGCACAGAACAACATTTATTCCACGTGTGGATGGCAAAAGGGAGGGGACACTGGCTGCTCCCCAGTAACTGCTTCTCCTGCCTCCCTAGATCCACATCTCTAAGAAATGGGGCTTCACCAAGTTCAACGCGGATGAGTTTGAGGAGATGGTGGCTGAGAAGCGACTGCTGCCGGATGGCTGTGGCGTCAAGTACATCCCCAGCCGGGGGCCCCTGGACAAGTGGCGAGCCCTGCATGCCGCCTGAGCCCCTCTGCCCCCCCTTTTCCCCAGGAATAAAAGCATTGGCCTCAACCACGTGGTGCGTGCTGCAGGCCAGAGCCACAGCTGTCCCTGTGCAGGGGGTGGGGCTGGGCCCTGCTGGGGGATTGACAGGCATGCACGTGGAGTCGCTGGCCATGGGGGTGAGGCAGGTCCTGGTCCGGGGGCTGTTCACAGTCCATGAGGTGCTGGCCCGGCCAGGCGCAGGTTCACCTCCACAGGGTAATGGTCGCTGACTTGCAGTGCCTGTGGGGAAGGGAGAAATCAGCAGGGGCATGGTTAAGTGGGGGAGACCCTCCAGCTGGGAGAAAATGAGTCACCCCTGCCCCCTAGCTTGTTCAGAGAGCCCAGAAGTTTGGGTTGTTGATACGCGCCCCCCCTCCCCAAACTCCTGCTAATTCACTGAGCTGTGAGAACCCAGGAATCCTGACCTCTAGCACTCCCCTTTCCCCCACCTGCAGAGAATGAGTGTCACCCCCCCCCCACCCCACAGTCCTGTACCTGA